GACCAACCCTCCACAACGACGAAGGGTAAGCAGAATTCTCCTTCTTGCTCTCATCATCTCCCCCCTCCCCTCCCCCCGTCCCTCTGTACCCTCCCCTTCTCCTCTTCTTCGTGGTTTTCTCCCCGCAATCTCTCCTCCTCTTCTCCTTCTTCTCCTTCCTCTCCTTTTGTTTTCCCTCTTGTCCCCTCCTCTTTGCCACCCTCTTCTCCCTGCCATCCTCCTCTCTCACTTCATCCTCCTTCCTAAACGGTCAGATCGGGATCGGGATCGGGATCCCATGTCTTCGAGAGGTCTACTGTTCACTGTACCAGTGGCGAGACGGTCAGATCGGGATCCCATGCACAACCTTAACTAGAGCTTTGCATTGACAACGTTTCTTCTTCTTCTTCTTCTTCTTCTTCTTCTTTGTCTTCTTCTTTCTTCTTCCTCTTCTTCTTCTTCTTCTTCTTCTTCTTCTTCTTCTTCTTTGTTCGTCTTCTTCTTCTTCTTCGATGTCGTTTTCCTCATCATCTTTTTGTTATCCCCTCCCCCAATATCCTTCTTTATTCCCCTCCTCCCCCTCCTCATTTCTCTCCTCTTCCTCGTTATTTCTCTCCTCGTCTTCTTCAGGATATGACAATGCAGCTTGAACTTCTGCTGTTTTTCCTTCTTCTTAGGCGGATCGTGCCCACGATTAAACCATCATCATCATCATCATCATTATCATCATCATCATTATCATCATCATCATCATCATCATCATCATCATCATCATCATCAACAGCAGCAGCATCGTCATCATCATCATCATCGCCATCACCATCGGTCATCAGCGTCAACATCTTCTTCTTCTTCTTTCCCTCGTCCTTTCCATTGCCCACCGGTCCCTTCTCTGTGTCTCTACCGTAGTGTCTACATGCAAAGAAATGCACAACTCGAGCCTCTCTCATTCCTTTCTTCCATCATTATTTTTCTGGCTATGTCCCTGCAGGAGCTTTGATGATTCTCTTGTTCATATGCCTGGATGACAAGTGGGGTATCTAGTATCTATTTCAGTTCAATTCGACTCTCCTTTCTCTTTGATGATTCTCTTGCTCATATGAATTGGCTATTTCAGTTCAATTAGACTCTCCATCTAACGGATGGGGGGGTATCTATTCCTTTAATTATTTGCATTTATCGGAGTCCATCAGGATTCGAACGTACTATTTTTTTTTTTTGCTTTTTTACGTATTTTTTAAAAGGATTCGAAGTCACTAAAGTTACATGTGTGTTAAAAAAAAAAACAAAAAAAAAACAAAGAGTTACATGTGTGTGTGTACTATTCAGCCACATGGGCCAGCTACCTCCTCCTTCTCTTCTTCTTCGTCATGGTCGTCGTCGTCGTTATACTTCTTCCTCTTCCTCCTCCCCCTCCTCCTCCTCCTCTTTTTCTTCTTCTTYTTCTCGTGGTCGGAAGGTCAGGTGGTGCCACAATGYGATTTTGGGAGAAGCCCCCTGATGAGAGCCAGGAGCGCAGCGTGGCCGAAACGCGTCGGGGAAATTGAGCGTTTCATGCTGAGAACTGTACATGCGGAGAAATAATGCAAATATGTCGATGCTTGTACGAGAAGCAGTCTATGGCGACTGACTGTTTTCACTTTTCTTCTTCTTCGTCTTCACACTATTTCTTGTTCTTCTTCTTTACAGTGCTCTTCTTCTTCTTCTTCTTCTTCTTCTTCTTCTTTATAGTGCTCTTCTTCTTCTTCTTCTTT